ACTGGTGGATTCCTGGGCACCACCAGCCCCGGGCCGATGGCAGAGCTTTATGGAGCCGCCAACCAGGACTCAGGGGTCAGCAGTTACATCAGCGCTGCCAGTCCAGCCCCGAGCACCGGCTTCGGGCACAGCCTAGGGGTGAGTGCTCCCTCGGGGTCAGTGTTCCCTGTCTGCCCTAGGGCTCGCTGCTCCCTGTCGGCTCTGTGAGGGGAGGGAGATGGAGAGTGGCATGGCCAGGGCAAGAGGCTGTGCCTCCACAGGGTGATGGAGGTGAGCAGCAGGGGGCCCTCAGCCCACAGCCTGCTTTCTGGTTAAGAAATGCCACCCACTGCAGCACTGGCTGAGCCCCGACCACAGTCAGCCAATGCAGAATGCAGCAGCTCACTTGGAACCCACATCCCTGGTCTCTGCTGGGTCTTCCTTATCACCACTTAAGGTCCTGTTCTCCAGACCTTTCTCTGATCTGGCTCAGGCTTTCCAAGAGCCCGTCTTGGCCCTGACACGCTGTGATGTGCAGGGTGATGTGCTCTTTAGACCTGCCACCTCCAACTGAAACCAGCTTTCCCAGCATCTGAGCCATGACAGAATTTGTTGTGGTGTAGTAATTCTCCTTCACTTTGCTTTTGTTTAAGAGTGAGGTTTTAACTCTTTCTTCACAGGGTCCCTTGATTGCAACAGCTTTTACCAATGGGTATCACTGAAGCTGGGGACCAAGAAGGCAGGAGGTAAGAGAGCTTTGAACAGGAGTGGGAAATAAGAGAGGGGAGTGAGGTTCTGAGCTGGCCCTGCACTTGATCTCTCAGCTGAAGCTGTGCATGCTGCTGTGAGGCTCACCAGCCTGATCCTGTCCCTTGGCCACCTCTTCTGCACCAGAAGTTGGGTGCCTACCTAACGCTCCTCTGGCTGGGAGTGTCGTGGAGAAGTGACTTTGTGTCTGGGCAATAAGAGGAAGGAAATGGAGCACTGACAGAAAGAGGAAGGGGTTGGCCAGAGTCACAACCCAGTGGTGATCCTGAGAGATAAGCTTGGCTCACCTGTGTGGCTGGGGAAGCCTCTGCCATGCAGCTGGTTGTACCCACTGCTGCTGAGACCAGTCTCTGAGGAGCAAGGTTTTTCATCTCCTGCCTGGGAGAAGGGTAGAAGGAAAATCTGATTAGTTCTGTTTCTTGACCTCAGATGGGCCAGAGAGGGGACTGGTGGATGGTTTTTGCTTTGCAAATGTGACTGAAGTGAGCTGGCTTAAAATAAAATTTAAAAACCCCAACAACCAAACAACAACCAGCTTTTAAAAAAGGAGGGCAGAAACTTGTAGGGAACAGTGTCCAGGCAGGAGCCCGTGGCAGCTTGGTGGGGCTGCACCGAGGTGGGTGCTGGAAAAATGACTGGACCTTGCTATGTTCCAGCCCTTCCAGGGCTCAGGAGTGCGACACGGTGCATGGGAGCACGTGAAAAGCTGTGGTTGTTCTAGATCCTGTCCCTTCCCTCCCCTGCTGTCCCACAGATTCCCCAGTGACCTGACCGAGGACAGCGAGCGGCTGGAGGATCTGGTGAGCCTCGGGGGATGAGCCAAGGTTACCTTTCTCTTGAATCAAACTGCACACTGCCGGCTGGCTGCCAGGCTCCTGCCGCCCTGCCCTGATCTCTCCCTTTGACCAGACCACACTGGACTGAACCCGAGGAGATCATCTCGCTTTCTTACTAACCACCGACGGTTTACGCTTCCCCCCTCCCTAGCCCCAGCCCACTGATTCTTCTTTTATTTATTTTATTAGCTGTTAGTTTTATTTTTTTATTTTATTTTTTTATCTTTTTTGGGGGCTGCCCCTTCTTTTTGTTGTTTGCTCTTTCCCGAGCTAGTAGACATATTTTATGAATTGGCTTTGTGATTGTGTTAGGTAGGTTTCATTGAGGAGTATTTTTATTTGGCTTTGAAACTGTTTTGAATATTTTCAACTCTGTTGTTGTTGTCGTCAGTGTTTTTAAAGCACGGTATGTAACAAGAATGCAGTTCTGAAGGGAAGAAAGAGACACAGAGAGAGCAGAGGCTGAGAGGAACTGCTGTATTTCTATTTTTTTTAAAGAAACTGTTTTTAATTGTTTCTGTTTTGTAAATGTGAGGCTTTGAAAAGTGTGAAACTCCAAGGATCCGAAAACGTTGGACATCGCTATGGAACAAAACAAATGTATATTTTGCTAAGTGAAAAACACTATCCTTACAGCTGAAAGATTTTTTTTTTTTCCTAGGTTTAGTTTTACGTGGGGTTTTCTTTTTCCTCCTGTATAATATGTAAATATCGCGAGCTGAGCCTGGCTGCCGCCTGCAGCCTGGCTCCAAGGAGCGGCTCCAGGTCCTGGACTTGGAGCCGCAGCGTGAGCAATACTCTCCAGCAGAATCCTGACAGGACTCCGTTCTTTTTTTGTACACCTTTTACTGTAAGATTTAAGATTTTAAGACCTCTGATGAGATGAAAGGGGGGCAGGGGGGGGCGGGCGGGGGTGAAATGTACCGGCCATCGGCTGTTTTGCTGAGCGGGTTAAAGCTGCTTCCAATTGCTCGATGTACAGACTCCATCCCTGGGCTCCGTAGTGCCGGCTCTGGGCTGGCTTAGGGAAAGGGCTTTGCCGCCGTTGCTTGTCTTGGTTACTTAGAAAGGAATTCACTCTCCAAACATTATCGCTTGCGTCAAGATTTCCTGGGAAAGGGGATCCTCCTCCGGAGGCGAGGGTGTCGGAAGGGGTGTCAGCCAGGGGGAGATTTGGGTGGTTGTTCTCTGAAGGGCAGGGCGCTGGGATGGGGATTCGTTAACAGGGGAGAAAAGCATTAGGGTGGTGATTTGGGGGCGGGTTAAGGGCTTCTCAGGGATTATACGAATTATAGAATTGCAGCTTCCCGTTTGCTTTACTCTGTGTTCTGAAGACTGTGGGAATTTGTCCGTTGTCCTGTGCGGGGGTGATCCGGTCCCTTCTCCAGAACCTGCCGGGGCTTCCTCTGGTGTGGTCCAGGCCCCTGCTAACCAGCACTCTGCTGGGGGAGGCCTCCAGCAGGAATACACGGGGCAGGTTTGGGTCTGGATTTCAGTGAACCAAAGACCTTGTTAAGGGGGGTGATTAAGCCTTTTATTAAGATGCAGCCAAACTCTTTTCCCAGGGAAATAACAGCTTCATCTTAAGTTTTAAAAATCATTCCCTCTCTTCCCCCAAACTGAGCCCCTGTAAGGGAGAGGGGCATTTAAGAAAGGACCGGAAGGGTCACGGCACCCACAGGGCCCTTTTTCTCTTCCATCTCTCCCCTGTCTGCCGGAGCTTGTCCTGACCTGGGCGATGCGTTTGGAGAGTTGTGTTTAGGTAAGAAGGTACTTAACAGATCAGTACTGAAAACACAAAGCAATAATTTTTGTTACTGAGACAAGAGTCTGTATGTCTGTTTTTTTAAATATTTCCTAATTAAAGAAGAGCTGCATTTTATTGGGTTTATTTTTATTCTATATACTTCAAATTTGGGTCTGCGGACAGCGCTGTCCTCCCTCGTGGTATATGCGCTGAACTGCTTCTGTGCCCCCTCCAGACATCCCGGGCCAGCTGTGCTGCTGCTGGGCTGTGAGTCACTCTCTGGCCACTGCTGCCACTGCCTGGAGGCTGGGGCTCCGGTTTCAGGGTGGGCATTTTTTTTAAAAGAAAAATAAAGCTGTGTTTTTAAGCCAGTAAGTTATTACACTCCAATGTTTGTTCTCTCCACACCTGTAACCCTTTTTCCAGATTTCAGTTTTAAATTCCTAATAAATTATTTGAAAACTGTCCTCCTCTGTCGTCGTTTGGGGGTGGGAGGGTTTTCCGAAGGGGGAGGTTTCAGGTGAACTTGGACCTGGCAGGAGTCGCATCCTGCCATTAGGATAAAAGCCCCAGGCAGGGCTCTGTCTCGCTGTTCTGCTCCTGCTGGCAGTGGCCCAGTTTATAATGTGAGGCAGATCTGGGTTTAGTAAGAGATTGTGTCTCTCCTCTGCATTACAGAGGTTTTGTGTAAGTATTTATAGGTTCAAAAAAAGGAGGAGATAATGTGGTGCTTAGAAGTTTGACTCCTGCTCTGGGTTCTATTACTATGGTGGGCCAAGTAAGCTAGATCTGAGAAAGTAAAATGCAGAGATGGAAAGTCCTTAACAGACAGTGCTACGAGAGAAAGGAGAATTCTAAGTGAGAAATAGGGAACCCTGAGCAAGTCTAAGAAAAGAAGGCTTAAAAATAATTTAAGGTTCAAGTCTGTAAGTTGGAATCAGCTGTAAGCTGGGATGTGCTCATGAGTGTACTGAGAACCAGTGGCTTTGTATACAGCACAGGTTGGGCGAAACCAAAAATAGCATGGGTGGAAAAATCTTTACCCTGCTGGGACTTTTCTCACGAGGCACTCTTGTAATGTGCACATGCCAGCTTTCCCACACTTGGTGATCCTCTTGTTGAATTAGAAGTTATGAAATTCACCATGAGACATTTTTGATTTATGACTTGAAGAGGCTGGTGTACTGGAAGTTTTCCGGGAAACGTAAGTAATACCTCAAATACTGAGAATTGAGGAAAAAGGAGCTGGAGTTTCATAGATAAGAGAACAGATAAATAATAATTCTAAAAAAAAAGAGTAAAGGTGATCAAAGTACCAGAGGAGAGAGAGAACACTTTAGTGGATATTGAAGGGAAAGTCAGCAGATTGATCGATGAACAAAAGATTAAATTACTTTTTCTGAGCTAACTGTGGTACGGACTGTCCTTTACATCAGGCTTTAATGTTTGTCCAGTGCTCTGTTAGAACACTGAGAATCATCAATCTATAACTCAGCATGTTTGCTGTAAGTAACCTATGAGTGGGCAGCCCCAGAGAATTGTAGCATTCAAAGAGGTCAGAAATGTCAGAATGGGTTTGGTTGTTCAGCAGCATGTCTATGGATGTGTCAACATCCTATGGATCCTGTGGGCACCCTAGCATATGTTCAGACCCCGTGAGGAACAAAATGTCCTCATCACCCCTTCTGGAACTTACTGACACAGTTGTGGAGCCCAAGGTTTCCTGCATAAGCACTGTGGTATATTAGGTTGTTATGGAAAGGTGGGCTTTGCCTCTTCCTCTGCTCTGAAAAACTGAGGGCTTTGTTTGGTGCTTTGGAAATAAATGCAGACTCTGACTACCAAGGCTAGGATCTGTATCTTGAGTGTGTAAAAATGCCAAACCTGTCACCCTGAAAACGCCAGAGCCTCTGGGGCCTAAATAGAGAGTGCAATGTTTTGGACTTACCCTTGGCTGATTCCAGGAAGCTTTTTCTTACCCATTTTTTGAACTTCTTTCAAGGTTCCCAGCTTGAAAAGTTGGGAAGTTAGCGAAGTCTGCTGTGTATGTTGACACTTCTAAGCCCAGTTCATTTCCAGTGTAAATCCCTTAAGGTCACGTAAAACCAGGCACTACTCCTTGTTTAAGCCAGATGCAGACACTTTCCAAGTCACTTGGCTCCTGTTTCTTGCCTAGTAGTACCTTCTTCTTCTCTGTGGTTTCAAAGTAAAGAGCAGCTTGAATTTTTTTTGGTTCAGCTCATGCCAAATGGTTATTTGAGGTGAGTGGACAACTTGAACCTTATTCTCTGAATTAGGCCAGAAGAATCCATGGAGAGATACAAGATTAATGATAAGTGGGATACTATAAAGAGAGGTGGCAGGTATTAGTGACAGGTGGTTATTAGTGTGCCAGCAATTTCCAACTTAACTACCATACTGCTACTATTTTCCAGCAGAGAGGCCTTAAAAATATCCAGATCTTTCTGACTTCCAATAGCAGCACTACAAGAATTTAAACGCAAAAATTTAGAGAGCAAATATTTGCCTTCCCAGCTTCCATAGATTTCACTCAATTGGCCTTCAACTGGTCACGTCACAACCTCCCACTCACAATCTCCAATGGAAGAAGTCTACATTTAGTAACATAAATACTGGCTAGTTTATCTCATACCCATGTCAAGGTGAGCTTGTTGTATAAAGACACCAATTTCCTTTGTCACCAGTCTGTCAAGTCTTGCAAGAATGAAGTTCCTGGCCCTGCTTTTCCTGCTGTCGGGTGTGTAGGTGCCCTCACCCCCGGACTGGTAACAGTGAGCCTCCATGTCTAACCTCTGTGTCTCTCCTCAGTGGGCGCAGCCAGCGCCGATTTCTCTTCTCGGGCCGTGTGGCTGTTCCGCAAGATGATCAAGTGCACGCTGCCAGGCAGCCACCCGCTGCTGGAGTTCAACGGCTACGGCTGCTACTGCGGCTTGGGAGGCAGCGGGACTCCAGTGGACGAGCTCGACAGGTTTATAACACCCTGCTTTTACCAACCTCTGTCCTTGCTTATGCTTTCCCAGTTTGTGCCCCAGCTTCGTCTCAGCTGGCCCTGCCTATAAATGCTCAAACTCTCCGGCTGCTGTGAACAAAGCTTCTTCTCACAGATCGATTCAAGGGAACAAGGATGTGCAGTGTCACACCTTGATGCCTTATTATTAAGATAAAATATAATCCCAGCAACTCTCTTTTCCTTTCTATGGCAGCACAGCGCCCTCATTCCAGCATTTTTTCCAGCAGTGTTGTGCCAGCGGCCCGAGCGCAGCTCTGCACGCTCTGCCCAGTGCACAACCATCAACATGTGCGGGGCTGAGCTGGAAAATGCCAGGAAATGGCTTGGGCAGTTTAGAGATCACACAAGTCTGACAGCCAAGACACCAAGCTCTGTGTTGGCTGTGAGCTCTCAGCACCACTGAGGGGCTGTGTAGGGTAAACACTGGCTTTTGCTTTCCCTGTGCCCAACAGACAACTGTGATGATGCTCCAGTAAGTACAGGTATACCACACATGTCTGGGACTATGAGCTGGCACAACCCTTTGTGTCTGCTCTTTTTGATTGTGGTGTGGTTTTGGTGGTTTTTTTTTTTCGTTTTGGGGTGTGGGGTTTTTTTGGTTTTTTTCAGTGCCTTGTCGAAGTAACTCTAGCATATTTGTGTGTCTTACACGTCAGCTGAGCTTGCATTTCTGGTGGTTTCTGACCTTTTTCTCCTTGTTTCCCAGGTGCTGCCAAGTACATGATAACTGCTACACACAGGCAATGGAATTAGAATCATGCAGATTCCTCCTGGACAACCCCTACACTAAGTTCTACAGGTTCAGCTGCTCCAACAGCCAGATTACATGCAGCAGTACGTCCACTTCGACATGACTCTAAATGTTCCCCATTCTCTCTTTGGAAGGAACAGGGCTGTGTTGCACTCACACTTCTGTGGCAGGAAGACAGGGGGGCTGGTTGTCAGAAAAGGCACACCTCGCACAGGCACTGGAGTGAATACTCTCCATACAGCCCACAATTTGAAGTTTATGAAGATATATGGTATCCCAGGGAAGCCTGTCTCCTCTTCCGGGGATTGAGTCCTTGTGGTACTTTTCTGGGAGCCCTTTTAATGGCAGTACCCAAGAGATCAGTGTGTTAACTGGGCAGTGTTACACGGCTTTTGCTGGACACCTCTGATGAATGTGGAGCCTTTATAGGGCTCTGGAACGGAGGTAAAAAGCAGAGAGGCTGGCAAACAGAAGGAGGGGAGGGAGGAAGGGGCCAGAGATGGCCGGGCTGGAGCACACAGCTTTGGATGCAGAGGGTTAGTGGGGAGAATCCTGTGCACCCAAAACGATGGCAGCAGTGAAACGGCTACACCCTGACAGCAGAAATGCCAGCCTGAGCCACCGCAGTGCCTGGAGAAAGAGCTGCGGTGTCTGAGCGCTCCTCTCTCTCCTCCAGACAAGAACGACGAGTGCTCCATGTTCATCTGCAACTGCGACCGCACCGCTGCCATGTGCTTCGCCGAGGCGCCCTACAACCCCGACCACCATAAGCTGGACACAGACAAATACTGCAAATAATCTCCCTCCTGCCCCTCAGGGGGGCCGCAGAACTTAAAAACCACCTCAATAAACGCCCTACAACGACCCGCTACCTCCTGCCGCGCTGAGGGAACGGGGAGGGGAGGGACGCGGCGTGAGGGGAGAGAGGAGGCCGCGCCCCCTCTGCCCACGGCTCGCTGAGGTGCGCGCGGCGCCCCCGCGTTCGCTGATTGGCCCTTGGAAGCGGCGGGGGCGGGGCGGGGCGCGCGGGGCCGCGAGCAGGTGCGTCCCGCGTGCAGCCCCGCCCTCCCCTCAGGTATCCGCGGGCTGAGGGAGGGGCTGCGGCGCCTTGGGGTGACCCTGCCTGGGTTGCCTCAGTGCACCTTTCCCGTCTTCGCAGGGCTCTCCAGGGGGACCCTCCCGCTTTCCCTCACACTCCAGGGGCTCCTCAGGGCACCTCTCCCCTCTTCGCAGGTCCTCCCCAGGAGGACCCTCCCGCCTTCCCTCACACCTCAAGGGCTCCTCAGGGCGACCCTCCTGCACTCCTTCCAGGGGCGCCTTAGGGGGCCCTTCCAGCTCTCCGTCGCCCTCCCAGGGCTCCTCAGGGCGATCCTCCCGCCCTCCCTGTCCCGGGGGCTCCTCAGGACACGTCTCCCGCCCTCGGAGGTCTCCTCAGGGTGATCCTCACTCCCTCCCGCACCTTCCCGGGACTCCTCAGGGCGACCTTCCCACACTCCCTCACGCTCCAGGGGCTTCTCATGGCGACCTCCACGCCCTCACCCTCCCGGGGCCTCCTCATGGTGACCCTCACGCCCTCACCCTCCCGGGGGCTCCTCAGGGCACCTCTCCCACCCTCCCTCCCACTGCAGGGGCTCTCCAGGGCACCTCTCCCGCCCTCACGGGGCTGGTCAGGGCGTCCTTCCCGCCCGCCCTCACCCTCGCGTCGGGCTGCTGGGGCGATGGCCACGGCACAGCTGCCCCCCGGGGCACGGCTGCGTGAGGGGCTTGAGCTGCTTGACCGCTCCCTGCTCTGAGGGAGCTCTGTGTAATCACCCACGGGAGCCCTTCTGCTGCCCGGCGCTGTTCCCGGTCAGGAGCTGCAGGATAGGAGGTAATGTTGGCTTGGAACGCAGGGAGCCCCTCTGAGGGATGGTATCTGCCCCAGTTTCCCAGCCCTGCCAAGGTCCTGTGCCAAAGCTGCCCCCTGCCCTTGGTACCAGTTTTGCTGGCAGAGGCTTTAGGGAGGTGTGGGTGAGCTCCTGGGGCAGGGGTTGCTCACTCCTGTTCCTCACCAGAATGAACTGATCTGAGAGAGGGCTCTGAGAAACCAGAAACATGGAGAAGGAAGAAGCTGGCTTGTTATGTTATTGGAAGGTACTTGCAATGCCTTCCTAGTGAAGATCACTGGATCTTTTAGGGCATTAGGATGATAATGAGATAGGACAGTAAATTGCATTTTGTCCTTTTTTTTTTTTTTTTTAATGAAAGAAAAAAAGGAACTATGTGACAGCCAGATACTCCATCTTATGGCACACCGAGTCCTAGTTTTTACCAGTATTTGTTGCTTATTTGTCCTTGGGTGTTTGTATACATGAATTTTCTGGAAACATTGAGTACTTAGGTTCCTCCACAGAAATCCTGAGGATCCTGGATGTGCTCCCAGGATGTGGCCAAGATGAATCATGCCTAGGGCTGGAAGTGAAAGATGAGATCTCCTGTGCTCACACACTAGCTCTGATTCTCTGAAATTATTTTTTGTAGAACAGTAAAGCTCCTAAGTAAATGTTACTGAAATCCCTTTGTAGTGATAAATGATAAACCTTGTTGTAGAGGAAAAAAAGTAAAATACCCTCACTATCTAGAAGGAACGCTGTACTTTTGAGCTGTATCATCACAAGCAGAGAAGATTGCTGGGGTGCAGTTGGAAGCATTTCAGAACCTTTTGGTATAAATTTGGCCTGTAATAGGAACTGTCTAGATTGAGGTGAGCAGTATCTACTCCTGGCATCCAGCACTTGGGGCATTCCATAGATAAACTCAATGGATAAATGAAGGCTCCATTTCAATTTATATCCATCCTACTCTGTACAGATTTTATAAGCCTGCACTTAGGTTTAGTCCCTTGACCGTGCTTCTCATTTCCATGCTGCTTTGGTGGTGTGCAAGACCTAACAGTAAATTCAAACATAGGGAATTCATCCTTAGGGAACCTTCCCACAAAATGTAGTGTGTCGGGCCCTAATGAACAGCACAGGTGGGGAGGCTGAAGGGGTTCTGCTAATTAGGGCTTTGAGGAATGTCGTGGAAAGAGCAGGGCCAGTGATTGCCTGAACTGACTCACTGCCGGTGTATGGGGAGTGCAAGGTGTGTGTGAAGATCTTCTGCCGTGACAGCCTGTATTTTGTTCCAAACCAGAAAGAAAGTACCTGAAACACAAGGTATCCCTGTGCTCAGCAAGCTGGGGAGCTCTGAGGCCCCACAGAGCACTGCAGCTGGCAGAGAGATGCTGGAGGGACAGCAGCTCTGTGGGCTCACACTGCAGAAGTGAAATCTCAGCCTTTAATCTCCCTTTTCTCTATTGTTGTTTTCTAGGCCAAGATTTTTCAGGCTCTGCAGGGAGGGCTGAATTACTCTTAACTATATGGGCATTGCAGAGATGAAAGGGAAAGTGTTCCAGCTGAGGTGAGACATGCAGAGAGCAAACAACAATGCTTCTGGTAATGATCCTGTTTCAGTTCCTATTTGGGCCTGAGACCAATACAGGACACTTGTACTGTTGCTCTTCCTCTCAGGCTCAGCTTTTCTTCTTCTCTGCCATTGTCTAGTCAGCGGTGCAGAAGGTGGTACTTGGGTACCTTTCCTTAGTGGGAAGGGAGAGGACAGAATTGCGGGTGTCTGGAACAGTCTTTCACCTTCCTGCTGCAAAGGCTGGGAAAGGGTGACATCCAGTCATGGGGGAAGAAGCACACTCTAGAAGGTAGATTTAGTCACCTTCACTCCAGGTTCCTGAACCTGCCAAGTTCACCATGCCCAGGGGTTTGGGTTGTTTTCCAGAAGTCGTGAACAAGCAGGTGTGTCGGTAGGAGCAATGTGACTGTAAGATGTGGGAGGCTGCACTTACACCACAGCCACCCAGCCCTCCAGGCCATCTGCAGGCTGTGTTGCCCTCACTGGAGCTCGGTGTGTGAAATACCTCTCTCAGCCTGCTGGGCTGCATTACAGTTTGCTCTGAGAATTTGCCCAGAAACAAAGACAAGATTTACCAAATAGGAAGTGGCTTTTATTTGCTTTGGGTAACTCCAACCTCACTTTCAGAGGAGCAGCAGAAAAAGCCATTATGAGGTACTCTCAGCTCCTCTATCCAAACCTCAGGAGGAACAGCTGTAAGAAAAAGGGAAGAGCATAAGCTGTTGATTCAGCTAATTTCATGGTAAAAAACTGTCCTTGTGCTGTTGTCTGATGTGTACATTTGGCACCCATAGGTGGACAGAGCTACGACTGCAAGCCATGATCTACTGGTGGACCGGTCTAAAAACTGTGAGTCAGAAAAGGTGGGAAAGGGTTGAATCATGTGGAGGATAAGACTGACTTAAAGCAGACAACATAGAAAGAAAGGATCTGTGAGAACACTGCTCAGGCTCTGTAACACTTCCCACAGTTTTAGCCAGTAACACAAAGATTATGGCCCTTTTGTTTTAATCTTTCAGGAACAATATTTCTTCCCCTTTTTAAACCCTCCTCCCTTGCAAATTCTGCATTGTCTGAGAGAATGAAGCTGAACACTAGGTCAGTTATGTTACTGAGTTTGTTGTTTTCCCACAGCATGGCTAATTCACATCCTATAGTGCTCAGCCCTGGAGGTTTCTGTAACTCCCTCCAGGCTGGTGATGACATCAGTAAACTGAGAAACAAACTTCTCAGGATAGGTCTTTGCTAGCTGCCTGCAATTACATAGTTATCTTCTGATAGCTGTTATCTCTCTGCATTGCATCTTCCCACACAACCAGCCCCCAAGGAGTGACAGGGGAAGGTGTCAATCAGCATTAGAGTGGTGCAGATCTGGCTTTTGGTGCAGGAACTTTAGGCGCTCTCAGGCATTTCTCAGTTGAGTGAACTTCTCAGTGGTGTCTTGGGGAACATGTTAAGAGCTGAAGTGCTCTGATCCTGCTCTAAAAGAAGTCAACTTTAGTAGTATTAGATCAGCCTAGCAGGAAAAAAAAAGGAACTCCTTTGTCTCAGCCACATATACTTGTTGTAGATATGCTCATTAACATATAGAAATAAGTTATGCACAGGAAATCTACTGTAATGTGTGTTTATTGTAAATCATTGTCTTAGGGACTTAAAAGAATAATCCCTAGAGGGTTGGGGTAATATGACTCATCTGTCAGTAATGCTGAAGAGACACCCTGACTCCTCTCCCACAGGCTCAGCTGCAGAACTGGAGAAGAGGCAGGGATAGATGTGGGAGGTTTAGTTACCTGTCACATAGCTAATTCCAAGTCTTCACTTGAAATGTTTTCTTGTTTTGGATGTCTTAGCAATGCTCCCACACCTTCTCAAAATGCTGGCTCTATTGGCAGTAAACCTGCAGCCTCTGTTTTTGACACCCCAATGTCACAGGAGTTTCAAGGTGGGGCAGAAGATGATGCAGATGGTGAGAAACTCGGCCCCAGCTCCTCTGCTAAGGAGGCATCAGTGACTCTTCCTACATGGAAAAACCTATGCAAATAAATTCCCTGTGTGTGGAGAACTCTGCTCTACTTCAGCCATAATGTCTGCAAAAGCCTTGGTTAGCAGGACAGCTGTACTGTGGACAGGACAGGTAAATATGGAATGACATCTGTGTGCTTTCTTCACTGCCAAACAGCAGACACCTGACTCGCTGCAAAGTGGGGTCCCCATTAAATGAGAGCAGAATGCAGGTGGGGGTCCTGAACTGATCTCGCTCGGTTTCTAAGTGAAGCTGTCTCTTCTCTGACTCACAACAGCCAAATCTTGAAATCCATTAAGCATCTTAATGCCCTCTACCTTCTCCAGAAATTGGGTGCCTATGCATCCCTTATTTTCTGCGCTTTACTTTCTCCTGCCTGACATGGATTTGAATCAACAACAAAGCAAAAAAAGAATGTTGCATCACGTGGTCAGTTGTCCTTGCTTTGCTACTTGACCTTTTAGCAGATGACTCTGTCATCCTTGTTTCCAACTGCTTGTTACAGTTCTTGTCAAAATATTAGTACAGGACATGTTATTTGCAGAGTAGGAGGGGGCATTTGTAAAGCCCCAACAATTAATATCCCTCATAGCCAGAAGGGAAGTGGTAGATCCCTGCAGAAGGTCAAGTAAAAAATTCGGTGTTCTAGTTTGTGCAAGGTTCTGTCTCTTACTCTGTAAATGGTTTGATATGGCTTACAATACCACCCTCAGGATCAACAAAAAATGGTTACCCAGTAGTGATGGATCTCCTGTTAGGAGTATGGAAATTGCATCTATTAATAGCTTGAGATTACCTCCTGAGGGAGACCTATTGTACAGATTTAATTGTATTTCCCTCTTAATTCATCAGCTGCTAGTAATTACATTCTGCATTTTTGCAATGGAAAAAATGGATCTAAACTGGCTATTGAGAGTGTACTTAAATAAATCATAGGAGGGAGAGAAAATTACAATGCAAATAGTATCAATCTTGTAAACAATTTTAATTCACTACTTAGCTATTCATTAATAAAATAACATACTCAGAAAATGCATTCTGGAAAATGTAGCAGCCCCCCTGAAAGCAGTGCTGGTCAGATTAGTTTAAAGTAACTCCTCTGGCATTTCAACAATATTTAATTTTTAAAGGGTTCAAATAGGAAGCAGTTTAGCTTGTCAACTGACAGTTGAGAGAAATGCTGACTTCTCCTTGCTGGAAGATGTTAGCCCTGTAGCCTGTGCTTCCAAATAATCTCTTAAAAGAGCAGTGTTTTTGTTCAGCTTCTATTTTAAATCTTTTCTTTAAATGACAACTACAGTTCCTCTTGCCTCCTTTTCCTAATGACACTGGATCCTCCAGCAGATGCCCGGGTTTCCCACATCGCCCTCCTGTGCTGTAGCCTCAAGTTACTCAGTCAAAATCCCTGTCCCTCATTCTCCTCTGGGGACAATTATAATTAAGGTACTTTATCCTCAGATACAGCAGTCTGATTATCCTGTCCCAGTGAATGAAAAGGCACTGTTTACCACGGCAAGGTAAGGCAGAGAAGTGTTTTTTTTCATCATCATCCTGTTTCCTGATGGTTTCAATGGAGGCGACTGGCAAGGCTGAGGCGTGCGAGGCTTGCTGCCCTCTCCTGGTGTCCTCAGCGGCCACGTACCGGGCTCACTGCTGCCTCCTGGATCGAGGTTCTTCCCCTTCTGAGATGATGATTCCTGCAGGAGTGGGAGGAAGAAGCTGCTTTATCGATGGAATTGATTACTTTAAACGGCAGTATCTGCTTAGGATTAGCTGGACCAACTCAACCAGGAACAGCTTTGGAATTGTCAGTTGCAAAGGCAACAGCGTGATCAGGTTCTCTGGAACTACAGGTGAGCCCCTGTAGTTTTCTCGTACTGAAAAATGGATTGGAATTCAACGCTGCCGAGTCTTCTGGCTACTCCTGCTCATTTTTCTGGGAGCATTAGCACTCAGTATGCTTTTTGTTTATGATCATGGAAAACACTATCATGGCCCATCAGAGCATAACTGTTACAGATGAAAATTTCCAGCCACATTTTAATGCACAGTGTGGGAACATCTTTTTAGTCAGCACATCTCAGTCTCAGCATTTGCCAGGAACCCATCTTTTTACCCTGTGACTGACCAGGGAAGGCACTCACCTTGCAGAAATAACTTTACTCCTGATGGCTGCTGGAGCTCAGCTGGTTGGGTCCTGTGCAACAATCAAAGGCAGCAGCTCCCCACAGCGGGAATTCAGTTTCAGGGATGCAAAGTGATCTAACCTGGTGGGCCCAATGTTAAGGACTGCAATTGGCAGCTTCTTCTCCCGGGCAGCAAGAGCAAACCTGTAACCAGAGTATACCTGCAGGAATACCAGAAGACAAAATCACTGGCAGCTTAGGCCAGGGAAGAGCTACAGAAAGGAGTAAGGAAAGGAAAAGAGTTGCTGTTGGCAGCGGGAAAAGGGGCTGTACATGCAGGGTTCAGGTAGGAAATGTTTTCCTTCAGGATTGCACAGAAAAGAACAGCTTTTAACCTCTGTCAGTGAAGGATTTGCAATTTCATAGAAACTGAAACTTCATAGCAGCTGGAAGGGAAACATCCTTGTCTTTTAGTAAATCTCTGCAGCAGCTTTTATTAGTCATCATAGGTTCTTAAATGCTGCACTTTGATGGTTCTCACATGGCCCAGCTTAGGTGGTACAAGAACAAACCTAAGGCATTTCAATCATTCCTGTACAAAGGATTATAAGCTTAAGAAGTGCAAGCTCAAGGAATTTGTCTCCAGTATCCTGAAGCCAAGAGAATCACAATCAGGCAGCCTTGGTTTTATCTCATTCTGGGAGGTGTTAGAGTAGGGGATTTTAATGTAATAGAACTTGTTCCTGAACAAATTTCTCTTATGCAAACACTATTACAAAAGCTTCTATGGTTTTGAAACCCCTGTTGTTTAATTACCTTACCTTATCTATAAGAGGCTAATGGAGAAAATACACTGGGATACAAAGGACAATCCTAAGCAGTAAGGAAATGTATTTCAGCTCTCTTTTTGAGAATTTAATAAGGAATTAGAGGTCCTAAAATCTGAAATTTCACACAGCACACCATGAGGCCTAAAAAGCTGCCAAAGGCTAAAAATTTCAAGAAAAAAAAAAAAGTGAGGACTGATTTGTGACAGGTTATCTTGGCTTTGTGGGCAATTGTGAACCTACAGGAGATGGAGAAGGCAGCAGAGAGGGGTCTGAATGGAGTTATTTATGGCAGCATGAAGTGACAGAGAAGCCCAAACAAGTCACCTGTGGAGCCAGATTTCAACCACAGTAAAAATAAAATACGAAGAAGCTCTGCAAAGGCTGATCTGATCCATAAGCCATTTGTAGTCCTACACTGTGGGACCCAGGATGGCTGCAGGCAGAGTAGCAGGGATGCAGTGTGGGAGGTGCACCTACTTACCTGCATGGAGGATCCTGCCACCAGCATGGAGTCTGATTCCGCCAGGCGCTGGTGTACAAAACTCACTTTTTCCTGGCTCACCGTGTCTCCAAAGAATGTCACGTCAGGCTTCAGGATTCCACCACACTTACGGCAGGCTGGGACTTGGAAACTGCGCACCTGCTCATCCGTCAGGAAGACATCCCCATCTGGAGCCACGCCAAACGCCTCAGCCTTCCAAGTAGGATTCAGAGCTTCAAAGTGCTCCTGGAGCTCAGAACGCAAGATTCGGTCTCCACAGGCCAAGCAGAAAACCCTGAAATTCAGAGCAAAGTCTTAATGGGGAGTTTTGTGTCAGCTGAAGATCTGGAGCCTGTAACTTGTTCCTTAGGAGGCCTGTCATAATTGTCCATATTTATTTACCAAAGAGTACAGGTCAAGGTCTTTCTACCTCCAACTGTTGCTTTGTTGCTCTAGAGGAAGTGCTTTGAACCCTGTGCATCCTCTCTCCCAGTTCAGGCTGTGCTTTTTCATCTGGAAACCTGGGTAATCCCAGACAGGCTGTGATGGCCCTTCTCCAGTCCGCTCATGCTGTGCAATTCTGGCACTATCCACTCTGCTTAGCCCTGGTGGATAATCCTTGTATTCTCAGGATCCCCTTGTCCTGTTCACTAAGAGGACATTTGCTGTACCAAGGAAAGGGGAAACTGATGCAGGCTTCAAGGGGAATGATCCAAATAATGCTCTGAAAAAACAGAGTGGTGGTCATTTTTCTTAAATACTTTGCTGTGAACAGCACTGGTTTGTGATCTTTTTCTCCACCCCAGCCCAGCACCACCTTTAAGCACATCATCCCCAGGAGCACAGCATGGACGTGTTGCCTCGTTTCTCAGCTGGTGATGCTGTAGCAGCCTGTCAGTCACCCAGAGGAGGGGCTGGAGCACTGCCCACCCTCCCCATGCCCGCAGCTGTACCTGTGTGTGCAGCCGTGCAGTTCTGTCATGCGCTGGCTCCCGGCCTTGGTGTGGAGGGCATCCACGTTCTGGGTCACCAGCCAGTGCAGCTTCCCCAGCTTCTCCCAGTCTCTCAGTACCAGGTGCGCTGTGTTTGGCTGGTGGGAGGAGAACTGGGGCCAGCCCACAAAGTTCCTTGCCCAGTAGCGCTGCCGGGCACTGGCGCTGCGAACAAACTCGGCGTGCTGGACAGGCCGTCTGTCTGTCCTGGCGTAGAGCCCGACCCCTTCGGAGCGGTAATCTGGGATCCCTGACTCGGTCGAGATTCCAGCTCCAGTCATTACAAACAGCCTCTTGGAGTTAGAAACAAAGCGCTGAAGCTCCTCTACTTGCAGGGGATCTGGGGGAAGACAGGCTGGCACGAAAGTCAAGTCTGGAGAGGTTCTGGACACAGAATGGGATCTGAAATGATGGAATCTGATGGTTCTGAAAACTCCAGACAACTTCCTGGCAGAGAACATGTTCAGCTAAAAGTCAAGAACAGAACACAAGGAAGATAAAAGAAAGCAAAGAGCATGACCTTAATGCCATTTTCTTGGGATTCTCTGGAAAATGATGCTCATACGTATTCTTTGCTCTCTTATCTGTTTAGTAAAGAAACAAATTATTTTGGAAACATTAACTAAAGCCCACATCTGAGGACAGCACTCGGATATCCCTTTGACAGATGGCAACACTGAGCACTGCTCAAGGTACAAGGACAAAGTTAACAGCCCTGACTTGTAGGGTTCCTGCTCTTCTATCCTGGTGTGAAGGACAGCTGCATAACAGGACTTGTGAAGAGCCCAGAAAGACCTGAGCATGCAAAGTCTTCCCCAGGTATGTGCAGGAAATGGCAGGAAGGCCAAGCAGGTGGTGCCTGCCCCAGAGGTGCTGGCTGTTTCCTCCCCAGAAGAGACCTTGCTCTGCTTTTTTAATTTTCTGCCTGCTCCAAATCAGTCCTTTCTGTTTACTCCATCCTTAACATGTGTTGTGGGAAGGGAAAGAAAACCAACCTTGAAATGTTTTTTTTTTCAGGACAAAGGCCTTGACTCCTCTGTAGTGTGTTTTGGTTTGGTTTTTGGTTGTTTGTTTCCACCCCCCCCCAAAGGCCTGGTGCATAACAGGCCTTGAATTGGGACTGAAGATTATAAGGACACTCCCTAAATGCCTCTGGCATCTCCTCTTCTGTGGGTGCCACCTCTCCAGAGTCAGTGGACAGATGAAGGGGCATTGCTTTGCCTCTCCAGCACAAACAGGGCTGAGAAAGAAGGGATCATCCAAATGGGTGTGGGGCAGAAACAACACCCTGAAAGGCAGGAATAGGACTGACACCCTGCTTAAAGGGAGGAACAGCATTCCCTGCTGTGGACAGGCAGGATGACTTTGCTGATAAGTAGCCTGGAATTGTGTGCAGGACCTGTTGAGACAGCAGTGGATTGGTTTGGACTTTGATTTTGTTTGAGCTTTCTGGCAGCCTGCAGTTCGTTCTCCATTTCACTATTTTGAAAGTATTTTTTCTGGGCCTCTCTGGGATTTTGCATGCAAAGTACAAAGAGGTTTGAAAGTGACAGTACTGAGAATTGACTGTTGGGTATTTTTGCCTCCCACCATCTCCCTCAGCAAGGGGGCTCGTACGGGATGTGGGAGATGGAGGAGGAACTTTAATTACTAACAAAAGGGCATGATCTCTAAAAGCTGATTGCAACAGGCCAGATAACCTGGTGCATCTAAATGGCCTTGCCTCAAGCCCCCAGCCCCCCTCAAGTATAGTAAATGGACCTCTTATAGTAAATGAAGCAATATTTAAATACATTTAATTTCAGCTGTAAGTATCATGATATTTAACTGAGGCTAGTGGCAAAGAATAGATTTGTCTCAGTTAATCTCCAGCTCTAAAGGCTTTGCATAATCATCAGTTGAACTACAGGGAAGATTGGACTGCCTCCATAGTCTGTATTGCTTTTTAAATCTAAGCAGTGGATGCTGTTTGCAATGATTTTTGCCTTGTTTTGCTGCTTAGCAGGAGCTGTGTTGGGCATTCCCTCCAAAGAGGTTTAATTTCCCATATGAATTAATTAGAAGGGACAAAGTCTCCCAATAAACTAATTTGCTCTGATAATAACTTGTCATGATGCTCCCTAAAGGCTGTTAAGCCAGTTTGATGGTAATTAAATTGCTTTAACTGATGAAAACTCCTCATTCCTGCCCGTTATCAAAATATCTCTCAGAAGGAAATGTTCAGAGAGGAAATGAAATAGAAATGTAGGGGTTGGCCCAAAAGAGAGAGGAGGCAAAAAAACCAGATACATTTGAGAGCTGCTATGAACCAGAGAAGGACTGTGGAGGAAAGTTACAAAGGACAGAATGTTTCCTGTCAAATGCAAAGCTGCTTTAAAAATCAACGTTCTCAGATTAAAAAAATAACTACTGTACATAATAAGTGAAACTCTTTAAACGTACCAATGGAGAGCTTGAGGGTTTTTTTTAAAGCACAGCCAAGATGCTCCACAGACAAAGATCAGGCAAGGTTAAGGTAGAAAATAAACAGGATTCTACAAACGGTTACAGGCCAGAAATCCAGAGGGACTCCCATGTCAACCCGGTCTCTTGTGCTGTGATAACGAAGGGGTGCGGGGTAACAGCCGAACTAAACCCGGCTAATGGAATAAGAGGGATACGGCGAATAATGCCTGGAAACTCACTTTTCATTGCTGCCGTGCCCGACCGCGGAAGGAAAGGGCTGAGTGCCGGGAGAGGAGCTTTCTGGGAAATGTAGTTCGCGGGGAAATTAAGCCCTAAGCACAAAGACTACAATTCCCATGCTTCAGAGAAAGGGGGGGAGGGCTGGTGAGAGAAAAGGTGTCTCAACATCCTGACACTCGAGTCAATCTGAAAACGCTGAGAACTCCATGGCAGCCCTCATGGAAACGTACAAGACTACAATCCGATTTGATTTGATACAAATGCATGTCAGAGCGTTGATAAAATGCATTGTAAATGCTTGTCCCCATAAAAGATGTATTTTCTTTTCAGTGATACTAACAGGTTTTAGGCTGATGATGTGATTAAACAAGTAATGGAAGAAAAATAAACTGAGGGCTGTTAAAGACATCTCCTCTAGCTCGGGAGTCAGGGCTGTGCCGACCTGCCTGCTGCCGACTCTGTGTGCCCTGGCAGAAATCCATGGTGTCGCTCTGCTTAGTTTCAGTCTCGATAATCACCTGATAAGCTGTACCAATTGCCTGGCAATAAGGAGGGTTTTGTTTTTGGGTCTTTTTGTTTCAAAGGAGCCTTATTTTTCTGAGGAACAAATCCGTAGGAGGAAGGCCAGTCTGCTGCATGGTAGCAGCTTGACAATAGATGTTCACCTGTCTTACAGGCAATGGGCTCTTTCTAGTAACTTGGACTGCTTTTCGAATGCAGTCGCCAAAGAGCTCTTGCTAATCAGTTCCAAACATTGCACGATTTCCTAATCCACTTTTCTTGCCTGTTGCAGTTATTTCCAAGACCAGGTGAGCCGAGCCTGTGCCCAGCACTGTGTGTAACTGTGATCATGAGGAAGAAGCGCATCCTCCTCGCTCGTTGTGCGGTACCACCCTGCCCGTCCCTGCGCCCCTGGGCCCTGCGGAGGTGTGGGACGCTACTCTCTTTTTGGCAGCCCCGTGAGTCTAAATCACTTTTAGTGCCTTTTATCTTAATAGTTCAACCGTGGTTTTGAACCCTTGGGTGGTGCTTTGCTCTGGTGCAAAGGGCAGGTGGCAGCCGGCAGACCCCGTTTCACCCCGGCGCCCCCCGAGGGAAACCCCCCGTTCCCACCCGGGATGGGACACGGCGATTTTGGGCGATGTCCCCGGCTCAGAGCAGCCCTCTCCCAGGCGCTCATTACCATAGCGCCCTCCCGGCACCCTCCGCGTGTCCCGGCCGCCCCGCCGCCCCCCGGGGCATCCTCCCAGCGCCCCCCGCTCCATCCCCGCTGCCCCGGCGGAGCGCGGGCTGCGGGCGGGGGGCACGGGCCGGCGGGGCGCGGGGAGCGCCCGGGGGCGCTCTGACCTCCCCGGAGGAGCGGTGGCCATGGGGCCGGGAGGGGGAGAAAGAGGGGTAGCTTTGCGCAGTGGCAGTATCGTAGCCTGTGAGGTTAATCCGAGGCGCGATTATTGCTAGTTGAAAACTTTTCCCAATACCCCGCCATGACGACTTGAAATACAGTCGGCATTGGCAATTTTTGAGAGCCTCTTTAGAGGCTGATTTCGTGTGGTTGAAAGACAGATATTTGAAATAATAAGGGAACAGCATATTCCACTAGGATGTTATTAAGGTGATGTGGTCCCCGAAGGAGTAAGGTTTTTCGACCACCCAATTTCTCTCCACTTTTTTTTTCAGTGACCCATTTCTTCTCCCACAGCATTGAAAGAAAAAGGCAAGAACCGAACTTTTTATTTAAAAGTGCCCTCAGTCTATTAAACCCCGTTTTTGGCGGGAGCAGGTGGTGGGTAAGGGGCTGGCTGGGGATGCCGGACCCCGGGGGTGCCCAGGCGGGGGTCCCGCGGGGATGATGCGGGGGCGCTCGGGACCCTTCATTCAGCACCGCGCTGCCGCTCTGACGTCGCTCCTACTTTGCATACTCCTCTCCCACCAGCCTTCGCGGCCGTCCCGGGGCTCAGCACCGACGGGAAAAACGGGTGGCTCCGGTCCCGGCGGGGCGCGGGGGGCGCGGAGCGGGCGGGGGGCGCTGCCAGGGGGGCTGCGGGGCGGAGCGGGCGGGCGGAGGGGCTCACCCCGAGCTCGGCGGCGGCCCCGGGGCCAGGGCTGGCAGCGGCGGGAAGCACGGGTTAGCTTTGCGCAGTGGCAGTATCGTAGCCAATGAGGTTAATCCGAGGCGCGATTATTGCTAATTGAAAACTTTTCCCAATACCCCGCCATGACGACTTGAAATATAGTCGGCATTGGCAATTTTTGACAGTCTCTACGGAGACTGAATTATATTGTGAAAAATAGATGAAAACTTTTGCTAGAGCCCAGCCCTTGGTCTTTGATAGTTATATTTACGGCAGCTGTAGAGGTTCGTTTCAAGCGATGAATATGTCTTTGTTCACTCTCAGCGATGCCAGCAGTTGCTTGTGCCAAAAACGTGGTTTAATAAATTGAGGGTGCTTTTGCATAAAAAGCTGTGTTCTTGCCTCTTCCTTGTAAAGCTGCTGAAGGAGGACTCGGTCAGGGAAAATGGAAATGGAGGGACCGAGGTACCAGAGAAACATTTCTCCTGTAGCTCTTGTTGAGGAGGATCCTTTGAGGAGCTTGGCCTCTCAGAAGATAGTTTAGGCAGGGAGGAGAGGGAGCATTTCTGGAGCAACTGGAGGGGCATGAAAGTCTGAATTGTGCTTGACTGGCTCCAGAATTGCTTCAGAACCTATTAGGGAACAGCTTTCCCTGTAAAGTACTGTAACCTCCATTTTGTGTGCATTTCTTTATATATATCCATTGGCATCATTTGCTTAAAAAAAGAAAAAAGAAAAAGACTCCTTATTGTCAAAGAAATCACAGACCTTTACTCTGGAAAAAGAAGCTGCTGAGTTTAGTGTTTAAATCCTATTATATAAGTAAACCGAATCCATTTCTAATTTGCAGCTGTTGTCTTATTTAATACCTAAGCAGATGCTGTGGAGGGAGATTTAACAACCATTGCACACCAGCTCCCTGGGCTGAGTTTCCACTGGAGCTGGAAGCAGCTGCTGTCCATCACTTTGTATGAATCAGATGTAGCTTGTGCTGCTGACAGGTTCCTCTGACGTCCTCTGCACGGTCGCGTGTGCCATCTGGATGCTCCTGCCCTGCCGGTAAGACCCTGAGCTGGGCAGCTGCTTTAAACTATAGCCAGGCAGGGTAGAAAACTTAGTAGTGATACTAGAGTTCCCTCTTTAACAGTGTTTTTTGTAACGTTCAGTTATGCTGGGGTATTATCCACAACAGTGACCAAAGACTGATGATGAAACCTGACAAGTTGCATACACTATCTTCTGTAATTAATGGTGCTTTTCATCAGTGGTACCGAGAAATGAACTTGGATCGCTCCTCTGTTTGGCAGCCAGTCTGAGATTACAGCCCTGAAGGGGACAGGTGGACTGTTAATCCATGCAGTCTGAGTGTCAAGTGTGTGGGGGTTAAACCACCCTTCTAGAGGGCTGGTCTGTAACTGGTAAACGATGCTTTGACAAGAAGGAAAGATGCCTTGAGCAAGTACTCTGAACACGGGTTGTGTGGATACAGGAAGCCCTGAAGTCCAAGATTTTGTTGATGTTGACTCACTTTCTGACTTCATTTCCAGCTCCCAGACCCGTTTCCCGTCTATAAATTGGGGTCATAACTTCTTGTTACACCTTCTGTGAAAGATAAGTGTAAATCACAATGTGTCGTAGCCACAGGGAACAGCGTAAGAGGAAACCCCATGTATTTCTCTGATGCACTGCCTGCCTTCATTCCCTAGTACTTCCCATCCAACACCAATTAGGAGGGATGTAGCTGCTCTCAGCATCACTAACCCTTCTGGGCACACCTTGGGTATGCTGATCCAGGGGGAAAGAGATTGCTGGAGGTGGAAATCACTTGGGAACTGCAGCTACTTCTGCCCGGCTGTGTAAGGATGGTGCTTGAGCAGGTGTTCACAAAGTCAGCGAGAGTTTGAGGCAGAAAGCAGGTAGGTGATGAGAAAACAGTAGTTCCAGGGTGTTAGGAAAGTTAGGAGAGAGTGAATGATGCTTGAGTGAGTTTAGCTTGAGCCTGCAACTGAGAAGTTGTCTTGGCAGCTTGGGTTTTAACCTGCCCCTAGTCCTCAGGCAATCACAGGAGGGGTAGGGACTGGCAATTTTAGAAAGAAATGTTCGTGTGTGAAGAATTCAGTTGTGAACAGCACGTGGCTTTGAGCACTGCAGTGAGAACAAGGTTGGTTTTAAAAGCAGTATTACTAGAGGATAGTATCACTCGTGGCAGCCCTGCCTCCCCACCTCCCCCAACCCTTTCAAAGCAATGCTGAAGCCACAGGCAAAGCTTTAGATGCAATGACTTTTTTATTTTTTTTATTCTTAACACTGAGCAGCTTGGACACAACCCATTTCTTGCAGGTACAACCCTAACTAGTGCTATGACAGCTTAATTTCAGCCCTGAGACACAACAGAAACTGCTTTCTTGATTTGCACTCACTTCTAGACTCCCAAAGGACATGGTAGGAAGGTGAAGATAAAAATTGCATACTAGGCTCCAATATGAACAGTGGGCACTTTATTTATGCAGAGGTAAAAACACAACCCAAGCCAAGACAGATGCCTGCCGTGTTGCTGTAGGAAAAACACAGATCCCAGGAAAGGACATGTTTCTGATGACCTTAGGTCTGCTTTGCCACCAATCAGTGGCAGTGGTTTATGTTGCTGCACCTGGGGTGACATCCTGAAGTCATCATTGCACAGTCAGTGATGGGTTTTGAGAAAATGTAACAGTCCCTTCAAATATTGTTTTAAATTTTGCTATGGGAGACCAGCAATGGGGATGTAAGGTGAGGTCCTTGGCATCAGTGGCAAAGCACACAATGAAAGTCTTTGCTCATATTTGTGTTGTATTTAGATCTAGGTAAGGACATAATTTGCTGACAAGTCCTGGATT